AGACCACAGAAACAGCTGCTCCAGAAGCAGCCTAAACCCAGTGTGCTGTGTGGTATTTACAACACAGCAGCCACCCAGGTCACTTTCCTTCCAGTCAGCCTCACACACAGAGCTTCCCTCAATGATTCTGGAAGCACTTGAATCTCAAGTATGCTTTATTGTTCCCAGACACATAATTTTGATGAACAGCCAATAGATGCATATTCAACAAGCAAATTTGTCCAAATTCTTGTGTTGTCTGTGCTGGTATTTCATACCAATGTTTCATTTCAGGACACTCATCCTTTGATTATCTACTGCCAAAGGAGCACTGTTATAGGTATTATGGCAAATTCTATGCCATGTGAATGTAAATGAATCTTCCCTTCCCTTCCCTTCCCTTCCCTTCCCTTCCCTTCCCTTCCCTTCCCTTCCCTCCCTCCCTTCCCTTCCCTTCCCTTCCCCTTCCCTTCCCTTCCTTCCCTTCCCTTCCCTTCCCTTCCCTTCCTTCCCTTCCCTTCCCTTCCTTCCCTTCCCTTCCCTTCCCTTCCTTCCCTTCCCTTCCCTTCCTTCCCTTCCCTTCCCTTCCCTTCCCTTCCCTTCCCTTCCCTTCCCTTCCCTTCCCTTCCCTTCCCTCCTTCCCTTCCCTTCCCTTCCTTCCCTTCCCTTCCCTTTCCTTCCCTTCCCCTTCCCTTCCCTTCCCTTCCCTCCCTTCCCTTCCCTTCCCTTCCCTTCCCTTCCCTTCCCTTCCCTTCCCTTCCCTTCCCTTCCCTTCCCTTCCCTCTTCCCACAGTTGAAACAGGAAATTTAGCCTGCAAGGATTCAGTCTCTTGCCTCCATACACACCAGAATATGCTCACGTGTTGAGTTGGAGCTCTGCAAGACTGCCAAATTCAACTTTGTCAATGCTAACTGACAAAAATCTTACATTTGCCAGAATTCAGAGTGAATTTCCAGTGTGAAATTTCAGCATTTTCATCAGCAAGCACCCATCTAGCCATAAAAATGATGAAATTTGCAATAAAGATTTTGGTTTTAAACAGATTTGTCCCAGGCTGGACAGTTTCCAGAAAACTAAAGGATTTTGGAAGGGAAGAGCATTGGATGTTAATAGAGCATGAGGAGACAGGAAAAGAGGACTTCAGCAAAATATATTACCTCCCTGACCATATTCATATACTTGATGTTTAAAATATTTTATTGCCTAGTTTCAGAGCTGATAACCTTTATGCAATTGACTTGAAAAGATATGCATTCTCCGGGTAGATGAATAGAGGGAACAGGGATTCAGCTTGTTCTTCAATGGTTTGTAGTAGCATAGGAAAGAAAACCTGCTCTGCCTCCCCAGAACTTTTTGATTCATGTTCTGCCATCTATCCTGACATTTCATTCTTATTGTGACTGGATAGAAGGAGGAGATTGAGAAATCCACCGCCACCAAGGGACTGTCTTGAACTTTTTCATATAATATGGGAAACTCCCACTCTTTCTTTTGTGTAGAAAAGAGGAATAAAAAATAACCTGAGTAGAAGTGCTGGAACATGTGATATCCTACACAAGAGTGAAATGTGTAATAACCAACTTGCTATTTTCTTCAGAAAAAAAATCTGGTTAACATCAGCATAGGAGAAATTCTCAGCAAAAAATGAACAGCAGAATTTCAAATAGCGTTTCAGTGTTTAGGAGTGTCGTAACATTTTGGTAGAGGTGTCTATGCATCCCAAAGGCTGAAGATGTTCCCAGTGACCTAGCTCTCGTATGTCTATGATGGCTCTCCAGTTGGCCAGGTACAAGACTCAAAACTTTCATGCACCCAGCTTGAGCTGTTGTAATGTTGTTGCATGATGATGAAATTACAAGACTCTGCTATGGGAAACCAAGGGTTAAACCAGTAACTTGTCTGACTGTGTGATATAGTGAAGTTAGGGCCGGTGTAGGCTCCCTGGAGCTGCCTGCTGCAAAGGGCTTTTGGTCCTATCTCAGGTGACTGCCAGAGTTGCTCCTAGATGGTCAGACAGGAAAGTTTCTTTGACACCTCTACCAAACAAGAAAAAGTGGTTTCTTGCTTAATTTGAAATTTTTAATAGTGGGCTGGAGAGGATGTCAGTTCAAAGAAGACAGGTAGCAAGAATGCTGTAATTTACTAGATAACTGAATGATCAAACACATATATGAAATATAAAGTGAACCATGTCAAAATTAACTTCAACTTCTAAACAAACTCAACATATAAGAAAACTATTCTACCATCTTGTCTCCATAATTTTTGTGGAAGACATGAACTCAATATTTCATCCTGCAAAATACTTTCTGAAATTTAGCAACTACTCTCAGTTTCTACAGAGTGAGATAGATAGAACTTTTTGTCCCTTGCGAACTTCAGCACCTCACAGGGTCAGAACCTTTATTCCAAAAATAAAGATGATCAAGAAGTTCAGTTTTCTGTTATGGAGACAGAAGTATCACCGTTTTAGAATTATAGGCATATGTCATTAAGAAAGAAATTTTGGGATTTGTTGCGACTGTTTGATTTTTTTATCTTTCTTTTAAAAATTCCAAAGCTCTGTTTTGAGGCATGTGAGATCCCATGAGTGGAAGCTGTGCATGAGAGAAGTAGAAAGCTCCTTAAAAAACTATCTGATAAGCTCTAAAGTAAAATTGAGTTGTGTTCACTTAGAGGTTATCTGCAAAGATTCCACTACTGAACAGCAAGTTCTCAGGAAATTATAAATATAAAAGCCAGGCATTTATGATGATTTTAAGAATGTGTGCTGTCATGAAAGAGAATCATTCCATCTTCATGGAGTCATCGACTTTAAGGGCTAGAATTTACTTCCTGAAAGATACAAGCCAGAAAACTTCACTCAATATATTTTGTACGTGGTATTTCCTTTCTTTAAATAAATTTCCAGTAGTATTAAGTTGCTAGGGTGATTAAAATATTTTCCATAGTTTTAGGGAATGTCATTCTTTGAATAAATATACACACAATTGGTCAAACTCCTCTGTGGTGGACCTGCACTGAATTAGAATTACAAATGCCACACAAGCTGCCTCAGTGGTATCTGCTGGGGAAAAGGACACCAGAACAGTATGATTTGTTAGTGCCTACATCCAGTAAACACAGGACTTGCTGTGAAGAAACATCAGCTCATAGCAGCAGGAATCTGTCTTCCTTGTTAACCTTATCTTCCCCATCAATGAGGAATTACCAGATTTACATCAAGAGCTTGAGAAGAAAACAAGGCACTACATGCAAACAAACCAACACCATGTATTTGTGAGTCAGTGGTCAGCATATGAAACAGTGGACAGGTGAGGAAGATAGCAAGTCATCCAACAAGATGAATAAGTAGAGTGAAAAGGAAGTGGGGCTGTTTGTCTTAAAATCTTATCTTTTCTGTTTTAGAAGACTCTCTGGCTCTTATTCTCCAAAGCAGATTTTTTTTCCCCTCAGACTATTATCTGTCAGTTTTCTAGTATTTTTTTTTCCTCCAAGGCAGTTTACATTTTTCAAATTGTAACATCTCCAGTACAGTGTCACTTGGAATACATCCTCCCTTTGCTCCCTTACTGCTCTGCTTTAATTACCAGTCTTTTTGTAAAATGGGAAGATCCTTTCCTCAGCTGTCAACAGACTGAATTGGTACAGTCTAATACTCAGAATTTCCCAGCTTTTCAGCATGTACGGCCTGATACAGCTGAGTAGTAGCCTGCAGAAGGACTTAAATCTGCATTTTTTTTTTCAAGACCTGATGTAAATCTCATCTAGACAGGATCCAGGAAAAAAGTCACTGTACAATCACAAAAAGGCTGCACACTATACATTTTATCAGTGCACTATCTGCGAGCCTGATGGTGTAGCCTCAAAATCCAATGTTTTAGTTCCATGCTAGTGCAGACAGAGCTGCCTTCTTGGCATGAGCTGCATTTGTTCTGACTTGCCAGAGCCTGGCACAGAGTGATGCTGAGTGCTCAGGCAGAGCCGAGGGATGAGCAGGCAGACAGGGAAGCTGCTCCTTCCTTCTCAGTGCTTTTGCACATGCTCAGAGCACAGAAGTCATCTCCCCCAGATATCTCTGCTCCCTCCTGTAAAAGTCTCAACTCTCCACTGTCCCAAGAAAAAGAGGACGAAATGAGAAAGAAAAGAACCTAATTAGTTAGACATTTATGTTAACTACCACATGAGCTGGGATCAAAGGTTTATGATTTTTATGCAGAGAAAAGCGAGTCAAAGTGTGCTGTGAAAAGCGGTTGTGAACATCTCAAGGGGAAGGCACAAGAAAGATCATCATGTGACTTAAATTCCATGTTGTCTCAGAGAAAGATCAAATGTTATTTATTTTGAGTCAACAAACCTACAGGGAGGTGAATAAATGTTTGTTACTTTCTCTCTCCTTGTTCTCATTTCCTGTCCACGAATGGAGGCGGATCAGCTGAGCCATAGCCATAGCACACCCAGGACAGACACTACAACATTCATCTTGGTGTGCATGAGATGCTTATGTTAAGGGAAAAAACAAAAAAAAAAAAAAAAAAGAGAAGCAGTTTATTTAATTCAAACACAGCCATATGACCTTCAGATGGCAACATCATGATCAGCTTTGACACAGGAACAGAAATGATCAAACAGATATAAAAAGTTCAGCAAAGTTCTTGTAATGGAGATAATTTCTTTAGTAGTCTACAGTTTGAGGCTGCAAAGTAGTTCAGTATCAAAATATTCCTGACAGCTGTAGGTTGGATGTCTTGCAACCAGTATCTGATTAAATGGCATGACACATTTTAAGAGAACGAAATTCCACTGTAACAGAGAAGTATAAAATCTTTGTTATTTGTTAAAAAATAATAGTTAATTAAATGTCTGTATTCATTTCTATCTGACCCCCAAAGAGTGCTAAGAGGTCCCCTTATAAATCAGAATATTTTCTAAAATCAGAAAAAAAATATTAGCCATCTAAGAGAACTGGGAACTAGTAATGATTATAATTATCTTGCAGTGCAGTTGCTTTCATGCTTTGCCAGTACGCATTAGCAGGATATTCTGAAATGCAACTCATTCTGAAATGAAACAGGAAAATGCAGCAGCAAAAATCCTAAGCATGTTTAAGTCAACACCCATCTAGTCATGCATATATATATATGTGTGTGTGTGTGTGTGTGTGTGTGTGTGTGTGTGTGTGTGTGTGTGTGTTATATAATTGTACAATCACTGTATAGAGAAAGTATTCATGCAAGTATAAAAAGGTTCAAGTGGAAAAAAATATGAGTGAAAGCTCAGCATCCATTATGTGCCTCATTTGTTTTACTTACATGGAATAGGTGAACAGAAATACGAGTACTTCGCATTGTAATACTTTTTATAAATAAATCTCCTAGGAACAGGAAGATGTATGGAGGATTTAAGAATTCTTACCTTTGTTTTTTACTAGATTCCCACTCATGTCTGCAAGTCATGACTGCATGTCAAATTTTCTGCTTTGAAAGTCAGGTAACACTGTAGGCTTAGAAGCTGCTATAATTTCTTTCTGAAGGGAACTGGCCCTTTCCTGACAGCTCTTCATCATCTTCATTTAAGCTCTCAGTTGCTAATGTTTTGAAATTGAAACCCCAGCCTCAAATCATGTCAACTGCACCCTCCCCAGCCTTAGTACTTAACATCCCGGACTCAGGTTTTTAATTTTTCTTTTTTTCCCCTCAGCTTGAATACAAAGAAAATAATGATTTTTCTTTTTTATTTTTTTTTCTGTTATGACTGCACTTTTCTCTTTCTCAGGGTACATTCAGAGGTGAAGGACATCTGGAGGAGGTGAGCAGAACTCACTTCTGATTTCACGCTCTCTGCAAACACAGGCAGGACATTGCAGTTTTGGTAACAGACAGTTTATAGCTGAAAGCATAAACAAAACTTTCTTTATTAAGTGAAAATCAAGGAAAATAACTGTAAGATCTAATATATCCTTGTTGTTTGTATACATATCTTCAGAAACTACGCCTTAAATATACGGCTATTGAACATAACTGTCATATATTTATATGTGTATGTGTGTGTGAAAATATATATATATATGCATGCATACATTTAGCCTAGCAGTTGAATGTCAGAAAGGGAGTCTGACTGCAGTCAGCTGAAGTCCCAAGTGACAAGGACGATGGAATTAAGTGAAACCTAAAAGTTATTGGGGCAGAAAGTGCTGCCCACAGTACTCTGAGGGAGCAGTCTCTCCTGAAAGACAGGCTGCCCTCCGTGTGCACCAAGAACTCCTGACAGCTCCTACCTTAAAGTCTGCAGCAAAGGGAGTGACAAAAGGCTTGGCTCGAGGTAACATTTCACTCACCATCCATGTTGTATCCTCATTCAAAACATTTGACTTCCAGGCAGGCTGGATGTTTAAAGCTTTTCTTGCCACTCTTGATACTAATTTTTATTAACTGCCAAAAAGCAATGGTGTCCTTTCCTTACATGAATTCAGGTGCAGCACAGCCTCAGAAGTGTGAAAGGAGCATGTAGGTGGCAGCCCTGGGCACAGATTTTTGCCTCATGTTTCTTATGTTTCTGCACAACCTTATTGGGTACAGCCTGATGGCTGACAGGTGTCAAAGAAAAAAGCATGTTTACTTTTCTATTTGCTCTGCTAAAGCAACCCTACTGTAGCTATCAGAGGAAAAATTTCAGCACTGATGAGTTAAAAACCAGGAAGCTATTCATGCCTGAGCATTTTAAGTAGTCCACTGCTGTCTTTGTAGACCACTAAATAGTTTTGTATCGTATAATACAGAGGAAATGTAGTTCTGGTCAGGCTAATTCCATTTCCATTAAAACTGCAATTGTGTTACACATTTCTTTGGATTAGAGAGCTTCTCTTTATTGGACAAGCAGTGCTCTCAGCTGAGGTGCAGCAGCAGCACTACCATCATCCTAAATTATGGACCTGGAGTACTTGAATTCTTATTAGGTTTGACACTGGCTGCACAATCCCTAGCTAGACCCTCTATTCCTGTCAGAAATTTATTCCTTTCCTCTGCAATAGACAAGTGAGGGCAGAGGCTTCAAATAATTAACTGAAAACAGAACTGTAACTAATCTGTTTGTCTAATTTTTACCAGATGTTCTAAGGTAATCTTGCAGAAGGAATGAAATGAAATCAGCACAAGCACTGCTGCTTCAGTGAACTTTGGGGACTGCCGAACATAGAGGTACGTGTTCAGAGACTGGAAAAAAAGGGTAGTAAATTACAAACCTTTTTCCCTATTATGATCAGGGCAGTGAAGTGACACTACCTAGTTTTTCCCAAACTGTTCATTTTTCACTTACCTTGCTAGGCAATCTTGCAGTATGAGAGATCAGGACACATGCTCCATGCTGTGCAGGGCAATTTGCTGGATGCATGAAGTACAAATGCACATTTCAGGTTATGAAATTAAGTATGCAACAAAATACCATAGTCCACTGCACTGAGAACTAAGGGAGTGCTGCATGGTCACAGATAGTGGCATTTACAGATTGAAGAATCAAATTTACCACAACTTGTATTGAGTTCTTCAGCTCCTAAATCATATGGAAAATCCTCCCAAACTAAAATCTCCAGGATATAATTTTTTTGAAGCAGAAGAAGCCTAGCAGAGGGAATAGTTAACTGTCATACTTTTATTCTGAAAAAAGTTCCTCCTCCCCAGACCCTTTTCAAAGAATGTAAAATGCCTCACCCTAATGCTGAATTTGAACAACATGTTCTGATTGCATGTTGCTCTTCAATATTAAATCAACAAAATAATTTTCAGTTTCTGTGTCCTCTCCTTTACCTTTTAGTCTTCTAGAAGTTTGTTGTCAAACGTCATATTCCCTCTTGTCCTGCCATAAACTGGCCATCCCTGTTGCTGTAGAATTGGAACAGAATACAGATACAAAATGTCTGGTTGATAGACAGGGTGGATATTCTAGAGTCTGCAGAATCAACTCCCACAAATTGCTTATTCTGGACAAGGAATTTTATTTCATCCCAGTTATCAAAATTGAAATATTAATAAGTCCCTGCTAATAAAACATCAGGGTTTTTTAACTATTTCGAGATCACAAAATATGCGTGAGCAGTTCAGATCCATATTCCAAATCACTTTAAATATATAGATGAAGGCAATATGGATTTTTACAAATTTTTGCTTTTGCTTGTCTTGATTGTATCATCATCTGTCACATCCTTCTGCCACCTTGCCAACATAAAATATTGCTGACAGAGGTGTACCAAACAAGTGTTATAAATATGTGTAAAGACAGAAGATAACTTCTTTTCAAAAAATGCAAAATGGGATTAATCTGTAAAAGGATTTGATCCATCTACCAGTAAATCAATTGAATGCTTTTAAAGACTTGTGTCTCTTTGATCTGGTGCAGTAACATCCTTTTTCTCAACTTCACTCACACAAATTCCAATATTCTGTATTTAAGTATTTTTTCCAGGTAGTCAGTAACAAATAAAACAAAATGTGTGCACCTTAAAGTATAACTATGTAATTTTTGTTGCAAGAAATTTCCTGTTTTATATGTAGGAAAAACTGACTTGAAGCACAGTGTTTTATTTGCAAGATTAGGCAATATGTATAATTGAAAATAAAATTTTATATTGGAATAATATTTGAAAGACAAATTAATAGTTAATTTTAGCAGTAAGGGAAAAAGAAAATAAGGTCATTAACTGTGTTGAAACTTGACAGGGTAACAAAGAGTTTAAGTTAGAAAATGCTGACACTCTTATTTTCTATATACAATTTAACAAGTACAGGTTTTGAAGTAACTTTCATTTTCATTTAAAATCAGCCTACACTACGTAGGAGTGGGACAAGAAAAAGGGCAAAAACCAAAGTTCTTATTGTTGCCTTACACTAAATTCCTCAGGTATTTTTCTTGAGAACTTGAATTTTCTATTTGACTCGGGAATTTCTAGTTACCCACCTTAACTGCACAAAATAAATACACAGTACAGTGCATTATATAGTGTTTTCCATAATACAATGTCTTTTCAGTAGTTCCATGAATTTCTGAAGACACTTTGGCTGTATTGACTTGGTTTGCTATGTGGATTATTGTGTCTGTGATATGGATGTTACATATGTACCATACTGGTGCAATAGAATTAGTGAATGGCCTCTTTTCCCCCTGGAAATGTAACTAAATTAGAAAGAGTGCTGTCTGGCTTTTACATCAGATGTAGGAAAACAAATCAGAAATTTTCTCTCAGGAACAAAAACATAAAATAGGAACTTTGTTACTACAGAGTGGTAATTATTGCATATTTTATTTACAGATAATATATTTATTTGCAGTAGGAGTTTTTGTTTGTCTGAGAGTTAAAAAGAGGCTCTTCCAGAACAATTTTGGGCTTTATTTTGGCCTTGGAATTTGTTACCTTCCCTGTAGTTTTTCGGCTTTGTATAACAGTGTATCAGCAAAAACTCTTAAAAGGATTACTGTATGATAATTATGAGTGCTGTAAAAAGTTGATCCGGCACGGGTTTTTTTTACCTGCATCATTATACAGATGAAAATAAGTGATGTTTGATCAAATGTTACTTTTTGCCTCTAAAGCTGCAGCATGCAACATTTGGGCTCACATTAACTGAGCTATAACCTGAGATAAAAGCAATTTTTTAAAGTGACTTTTCCCTAGCTGTCATTTTTTTTTAAATTATACAAGCAAGTTTCTTTTATATTAGATACAAATAGAGTCAATAAAAAGAAATATTGGACTGTAGGCATCACTTGGTCAGCCTTAACTACAATAACTTGATTTTTTTTAACTGTGGAATAATTTTATTGGCAATAACAACATTAGTGATTATTCATGCTAAGATAGAGCAATAATAAACCTAATGATCCATAGTGAATGATTGACAAAAAGACCACAAAGGAATTTTCCTCTTGCTTACTTATATTTCACATTACATAAATGGGCAGATATACTATAGGATTTTGGAAGCTGTTTCTGAAATGCTGAGTATGATTTATTGCCAGAGGCAAGATGCCAGACTGGATGCATCAGGGATCCTGTCTGCTAAGAAATGCTTCAGTTTCTTTCAAGAGACTGTCCATATGTGCCTTCATACCATAAGCATATGTCTGCTTCTCTGAGTTGAAGATTTCTCCATTTCAGCAGTATCCACACAGTCACTATCATGTCCTGTCCTGTTCTCTACCTGACATAAACTGACTGAGGCTGCCCCTGCTTGCTCAGAGTAAGTGGTGAATGGGTTCTGAAGAGCCACTTCAGCAATTTAGCCTTCCCTTACAATTTAAGTTTTTCCTTTTGTGATTTGTTTTTCCCATGTTCTTTACAGAATGCATTTGACTTCTTATGTATTGAATTTACCTTACCTCCATTCTCTACCCACCTGCAGGCAGAAGTTTTCTTTAATTTTATTCTTACCAACAGCGTTGCAGCTTGTTCACAGTTATGAGGAGATGTGTTATGGTTCTTTTTCCAATGGACATACAAACACAGGCCAGGCAGATATCTGTACCTGTGATTTCTCCACATCTCTAAGAAGATGGGTTTAACTGTATGCTCCATTCTTCTTTTAAAATGTGGATGTCTCACAGGCTGCCACATCTAGACAAAACATCCCATAAGATACTTATAAAATACACCTGCTATTACTGGGGTTCCCCTTTTAAAACAGCAGCAAGTAAGCAAACAGATTGTGTGTGTGTGTGTGTGTGTGTGTGTGTGTGTGTGTGTGTGTGTGGAGATGCCAGTGGTTCTCTGATCCCATTTCTTCAGACTGTTCCTATCTATTTCTGGGGTTTCAAACTATTGTCTTTAAATTGAAAAAATAAAGTTTCCAAAGACAGTATGGATAGGATTAAAAACAGAGAAAAAGATCTCATTTATGCTTCTCAGAGTTCTTACTCAACAAGATGAAGGGAAAAATGTCACTTTAGTCAATGTTACTGCCACTTCTGAAAGTAAGGGACAAAGGTGGCAAGGTTGTGCCTCAGTGTACTCTTGAGTCCTAATTGCAAATACAGCTGCTAGGTTTCTGTAGCATTTGCATATGCTGTGTATGTGTTCAGGTCCAGGAAATGAGTTCCAGCATTTATGTTATGTTCTGTTCATCTACAAATTAATTACACAGTCCTATTTTTCTTCCCAGATTGGGTTTTTTTTGTGCTAATAAAGAGACGTGTCAAGGGCAGCCCAGACATATGGTAACAGCTCTCAGAGACACTGTATTCCAGTGAGACCAAGACTGGCTATTGTGTAGATTTTATTTTTACTTTCACTCCTAATGTAAAACCAATATTATTGTTTAGCCACTTAATAGTTGTCCAGTTAATAATCTAGAATTTTTCTCCATAACCCATCCTTATTTCTAGTTTTCTTTTTCTTCTAGTCAAATCCCCAAGCAATGCATTTTGAATAATGCATAAGCTAAATTGCACAAATATCCAAGAATATTTAGCTACAGTCCCTGGATGTGTAAATTGGTTAAGTGTTGTGTTTTCAGTTTTTTAATCACAGCCAATCTCAAAGGTGAAATGACCTCTAATTTGTAACAATTCATTAGGGGTCTTAAGGAGGAATGCTTATGTGATTTAATTTAGCTACTTAGTGAGAATTGAAAGTCTCTAGACAATCTTCATTTTCCTTTGGCCTTCCAAAATGCATTATACAAGGATGCTTTCCAAAAATTCATTATGGTTTTAATCCAGTTATCCCAGATCTGCACATTTCTTAGATAAATTCTTGATTCCATTAACTGTCAAAGCAGAGTCATTCTTCATTCAGTTGTTGAAATCCTTTTCACAGTCAGAACATACTGTCAACACATATTAAATGTGAATCTGTAGGAACAGGATTCTGAGCAAATGTTCCTGTGATGGCACTTTCTTTTTAAACCAGGACAGAAAGAAACAATTCACAGTACTGCTTCTTGATAAGCTTACATAGGAATCTAGTGGTCAGGTTATTTTCCCATGGATTTGAAAAATCCATGTTAAATTCTCTCTGCATTTGAGATTTTGCATCTTTTATATTCCATGTGACTGTGCAAGCGATTAGTATATACTCTGGCTTGATACCAGAACATAAAGATATTTGCCAGTTCCTACACTGCATAGAAAACAATTCTGAAGTAATTAGGGCAGGACTAAAGAGCACAAGTTGAAGCAGAAAATCCTACTTGAGTAATTAGAAGAACTTGCTTGGAAGAAAGAAAAATCTCATCTGCCATCTCCATTAAAGCCAAGATGAGGTGTCCTAAGGGCTCTTTAATATGAGCTACATAAAGTATTTTGAAGCAAAAACTGGTTTATAGGATACTCCTATCAGAACTTCTACTCCTTTATAAAAGGAAGTTACTACAGATAGCAAGTATTTTTTAGAGGAGCTGGCTCTCTGCCATTTATCCCAGTTCACACAGCACACTCCTAAATACAGTACAGGAAACCAGCACACTCTTGCATGGCTCAGTCACCATTCAGACATGCCTGAAAAAGTAACTGAACTTGGCTTATTGCGTTATTAATTCAAGGCAACTTCCAAAGGATAGTGAAGATAGGTTTCTGAGTCTCTGTGACCAATAGCTGGAGACATATTCCCCCACAGCATTCCACACCAAGACATTGATTTCAGTGCTCCTCCCACAAGAAATCTATCTGCTTATGTGGGCTACAGGGCAACACCAGCTTTCTTCAGCTAAAATTTTCTTTTAATACTGTCCCTCAACACCCTAGTCCTTTTTTGGATTTAGTTTCTCCACAGTTTTGCAGGGTTACCAATGTAAAAAGTTTCTTCCTTACAGAGGAAGATTACTATAAAGTAAGGAAGTAGAAACATTTTGCTCAGACCACTTTTAGACCACTCAATCAGGTCATTATATCTCTCACTGGGCCAGCTTCTAACATGCCTTTGCTTAGTGAACATACCACAGCTGCATGTGCAGATCTGTCATTTACAAGTTGATGAGGAAGGGGTCTGGGGCAAGCAAAACATGTCCCAGTGAAAATAAAGATATTTTTTCCTCCACCACCCATACATTTGGAATGGGGATATAGGTCATTTTTTCATTTCACTCTCAGGCCAAAGAAAGTTAAAACACTAGATTGCAAGATACTGTATGTAACTGGGGAAATTAATCTAAGCCAGAGAACTCTGATATGGCCAAGAAGAATGGAAACAGTTAAGCTAAGTGTATTTAAAGAGTGCACTTATTTCATAGTGTTGTTTCTCAAACTGTGAGACGTGCCTTTCTCAGTGAAATGGATGGAAATTCAAAGGAGGCATGTGCTGTGATGAGGCACCAAGGAGATGCTAACTGGTTGTGAGTGAAGCACAGGATAAATTAGTTGTGATGTACAGTTTGGCAGTGTTTAAATTCAGGTGGAGCTGAGATTTTTTTTTTCATTCTACTGTGATCCTGCACAATAAAATTACATTAGTAACTGCACAAGCATATTATTTTTCATTATACCAAAATATAAAATATAATAGCTTTTGGAAGGTATTTTTTTTTCTAGTGTCATTTGTCCAGAGTTTGAGAAATGTTCTTCTTGGGGCTATGCAATGATAAAAAAAAAAAAAAAAAAAAAAAAAAAAAAAAACCCCAAAACAAACCAACCAACCAAAAAAAACCCAACAAAATTTTCTGCTGTTAACATATTATGTTCAGTGCACCCACATTTTCTCAAAGCTGTAAGCTATAATTACCTCCAGTTCAGCTTAAGCTACAGGTACGAAGCTGCTTTGAAATATTGTGTGTTGCCCAGGCACAGGCACAAGGGAACTAGCAATGCATGAATCCTCATTTGCAGAAATCAAATTATTTCATCCTTTATGATATATACAGGGAGAAAAGAGGCAAAAGTATAAACTCAAAAATAATGATACCAATATATTACCAAGTTTAAACTCAAAAAACAGGAATCTAAGCACAGGATTAAGGGTTTGGCTCATGCTGACCTGTTTGAAATTTTCTTTAATAGATGGCTTGAATCTAAGTAATCACACTAAAAAACGGGATTGCAAACCCAGATTTTGAATTGTTGAGTTTGGAAGCACATAAAGATTTACTTCTGATTTTGTTCTAAAGTTCATAACTAAGATCAAAAGATTAAAACACAGAGTTTGGGACAAGATAGTGATTTCCTGTCCTAAAAGTTTCACGTGGACTAAAGCAGAAGAAATTATTCTTAAAAGGTGGTATATCTACATACTACACTTGTCAGTTATATTCCTGCTAAAACATAAAGAGATGTTTTGACTCCTTTCAACCTTCATTTAAAGGTACTATTTGCCTTATTGCTCAATCACATTTCAGGGCATCAATAGTAACCTTGGGGATAGTGCAGAAAAAGTCTGTGTCTTTGTATTGATATGCGTTAGAAGTTATTTGCATTTTCACTCATGCAAAGCAAGGTTCCTTCTAAACAACTAAATCTCTTGTACATCCTAATTAGTAGCAGCTCCCAAAAGGAAAAAAGGTGCAAAAGCCAAGGTAAGGAATATGGACAAATGAAGAAGAAGAGCATGTCTTGTGAATGTTATCCAAGTAGGAATATCTCTTTACCCTTGTTCATTTGCAATGTAGAATATCAAGCATTGCTCTCTATTACTGCTTTGAAATGTCTAGAAAATGCTGCAATATTAGTGTGGCTTTTAAAATTTGATTTATTGCATTTATGAACTGTCGAGATCTGGTTTTTTTTTTTCAAAGAGTGATATCACTTAATGGAAGAAAGACAACACTAAAGCTGCCTCCGCAATAGTGAGTGACACTTCTTTTCTAGAGTACAAAAAACTCTTGAGACCAAAACCGGTCACTGAACCTTAGTCCTGGAAAAATTCAGAATTACAGGAGTTCTGTATTTCTCCTGTGCCAAATAGCAGGTATTTGAAATTTCCTTAAAGGCGAATCTCTTTGTTTCTGAAAGTTGAGTTCTGCCTCCTCTCATCACACTGCTGCACAATTTACCAAGTAGCTTCATTCAAGCCAAGGTGAGGTTTCACTTTACAGATGATTTGACAGGTTGTATGTCCAAACCAGCATTTTCTCCAAACCAAGGCCCTTGGCTGTGTGCCTGCCCTTCCCTCACACCAGCTCTGCTCCCAGCTGGCCTCACGGTGAGCTGTTCCATGAAGCACAGTCAGCAGAAAATGATCCCACCCCTTTTCTTCTTTTTTTCTTAGCTCAGTTAGGTTTAACCCTAGAAAACGGTTCATCTCAATGTCAGGGAGGCAGAGGAGAAGGAATGGAGAAGCAGCAGAATGGAGGGAGGCAGGGTGGGTACCTCTTGGAAGAGTACAAGTAAATTTCCACTCTGAAAAGCAGAATAAGGAACTGCTCACAGTTATGTAAAATAGGGCCTCTGACTTGTTTTGTTACTCTTAATGAAAAAGGCTCAATAGTGAAGTCGTCACTGGGGCTAAATAGAAGAATCCATACACTCTGAAAGGATGCACACTGTTTGTGAAGAGGGACCCCACATGAAGAACTGCTAAGTGTTTCCCTTTTGCAGATACAGTTAGAGAAGCTTTCTAGCCATGCTGTGTTTGTGTTAGATTAAGACAGGCAGACCAAAATTTGGGATACACTGGCTGTGTGCCTGCCCTCCACCAAGGCAGGGGGCTGGAGGGGGAGACTGCAATGCCTGGCAATGCCCTCTGACAGCAGTTGCCTTACTGGATACAAACAGCAGTCTGCTGTTAAAATACTCTCTTTTACTGAATTACCACTCTCTGCATATAAGGAATGTTTTCATTATTTACTTGCTAAAGTGTCCCAAGATATAATAACATTCATGTTCTCAGCTACTTGAAGAGTTTATTTCTCCTGTTTGCAGTAGAAAGGAAGAGTTTGCTTCCTTATTTACTAAGCACTGTCGTTTGAAAGAAGAATGAACACTGATGAATATCACTGCATGGTACTGTTGGATTTAGTATGCCCACATTATACTTCTTGTTATTCTTTTTATTATTCTCCCCAATGTGGCTGAAACACTTAAAACTCCCAGTAAAAATGATATTCAACTATTCTGACTGCCATACAAACAAGACAGTCTCCGTTCATAAGGAATTCTTCTGTAATTTCATCTGTCTCTGTGTGTTACAATTTATTCCTATGCCTACTGAGTGTTAAGTCAGTGACACTTCTAGTCTTCTATTAATATCTCAAGTCTTGCTTGAATATTTATTCAGACTTACTTCTAATTCTCTGTGCAGAAGTTGCTTTGCACAAATATTAAAGGTATTAATGTATTAATATAACTCTCTAAAATGTGTGTTGTCGACACCCTGTCTGGGGAAGTGACCATGATGCAGTAGTTAGAAAGCAGAAACACTGTAGAATCAGGAAAAAAGGCTTATATTTTGCAACCTTTCTGATGTGTGATGCAGACAAATCAGGAAGCACAGATTTTTCTAAAGAAAGCATGCTGTTGTTAGGCAATCTTCTGCTTTGTTTCTGAAACATGTATCTCCTCACTAACCCACAATTCTCACTAGAGAACAGATCAGAAAAGAAAGATGTTTTCCTTAATTGTTTTCTATGAAAAAATACAGACAGGCTCATAAAATCAGAGAAAACAACTGAGAGAGGATGAGAGAGCAATTCAAATATGTTTTCATAAAATGTCCATACATGATAAACATGAGATATCTTTAATGACCAAGACATATATTTTCTAGGCATAACATTCACTAGTAATTCCTGTTTTGTTATTTTCTTTGTTGTATTTTGAGAAATCTTCTGCCTGCAAGACATAGATGAAAGTGAATGGGAAACATGTTTCTCTGTAGATTTTAAATTACTTTTTATATAGAACTCTGTGATTTCCTGTCTATTAACTTTCTCCACAACATCAAAACATTTATAGTATATATTTTAAAGGGTGTTATATCCATCCAACAAACACATTTAATTCAAAGTCTACTTGTAATAATAATTTTTTTAACATTTTCAGAAAGGTGTAAATCACTCTAAAAGAATTATTGTTTGTATAACTGCTGCTCCTCCCCACTATATTCTGTTAAGGTTTTGTCATCAGTGTGAGTACTATTTGTTTTCAGGAATGCCACAGAAACCACAACTTTCAATTGCATTTGCTTACAGACATGTAAAAGAAACGCATGTAAAAGCAATTAATAAAATTATAAGGTTCACAGTGCCCTGAAATTTTGTTCCTGCAGTTTCTTAGTTCAAGAGCCTTGAGTGACCAAAACAATGACCACAAATCAAGCTGCTCACTTCTCCCTCTGTAGAAAGTCACTTGAAAATGTCATAGAACAAGGCAGCACATTTTTACGGAGTAATTATTTCCATCCTCCCTCCCCATTTATTTCTTATTCAACATATAATTTCTCTCCAGGCACTTGGATTCAAAGCTCTTTGGTATCAAAAGACCTCTAGTTGACTTAGCTGAGCTCTGAATGGGCCTGGGCTGCTGTAAGGTGGGAACTAATAAAAACTGTGGTTTGTTCTCCCCTGGTGCCGTCTCAATAAAGTTTGCCAAGCTGCATAAAAAGCAGCAGCTTTATTTTTCTGTGCAGGGAAAGGAGGCTGTGCAGAGTGCCACTACCAGAATTATCTACCAAAGTTCAGGGCAGGCTGGCCAACACTGAGGCAGGATTTACCTCCTAGTGTGCGATGAGAGATGAGAATTCAATGCTTTGCTTTTTCTGCTTTCCTTGTGTGAAAAAAAAAAAAAAAAAAAAAAAAGTAAGTTCAAGGCTTTGCACTGAATGAATTGTATTGTGAATGTTTTGGGGGATGAGGGGGGAGGTGAACTAGTCATAAGTACATTCAGTTTTACCTCCTTGAAGTAAAAAAGGCATACTGAGAAGGAATACTGAGCACTAGCTTCTTGCATTAAAATACTAGATTACTTTTCAGTAAAAAGATAATATTTCAGACAAATTGAAACATAATTTTAGTATATATTTGTTCTTTTAAGTCATACAGAATGCATATTTAACAATGATATTTCTGTCTTTGGAGCATGTTTAAAATAATTTATTTCCTTGAGATAGATGGTGCAGCTACTCCCTAAAGAAGAACACTAATTTATTATACTCAGATGTTTTCACATATGAAGGAGACCAAGAGGACACCCTGGGTAGGAAGTGTGCATTTTAAAATGGTTTTAAAAGAAAAATATTTTTCTTTTTCATGTTGTACTAAAAAATTGTAATTTCTTTGTTATAATTGCAAATGTAGTTCCTTTCATTCATGCAGAAAGTCCAAAAAAGGGTCAATTCTTTACTGTGGCTCTGGAGAGCATCTTTAAATAAAATCTGATATAAATCTGTGTTTTTTAAGCATTAATAGAACCAGTCACCAAATATCTGTGTATTAGAAGTGTGCAACAGCACGTGAAACAAAGGGTGCACACGACATATCCGTGCTGCCAGTACAGAGGGCACAAGAACCACAGGACTGAGGTGAGGGACGACTGCAGTGGAGGAGTGATACATTGCAGATGAGACATTGAGGACAACCTACATCTGCCTCTGTCAGGCATTTCATTCAGTATTTTGATGTACCTGTTAATGTGCCTGCTGCTCAGTCACTTTTAATTGAGATGCATTGCCTTGGCACCTCAGGCACGCCAGAAATGAATGTGCACACATCTATTGCATATGTACAGCAAACCTGACATGCCTGTGCAGGACTGAGATAAGAAGGGAACAACGCCTGTGGTGCTTTGCAGAAGCACTGGCATCTCATGTGTGTGCTGTGCAGTCAACAAGGGCACATCTGATCCTTTCCCTGCTCCTCTTGAGGAGCCCTGTTCCTTGCTCCCACACTGGCAGCAGGACTGACTGAATGCATATGGCTTTTCCCACTTGCAGGCATCTTCTGCTGACCATCTGCTACCAAAGTGTGGACAAATATTTGGGAACATCAAATGCCATCCAGGCAACGTTCTGTAATGGACAGGGAGGACATGGCTGGGGAAACTCTGATTATGGAAATAACCTTAGAGGAATACATCAGAGAGAACAATGGCATCTTGTATCAGCAGGAAGAAACCAAGATGGGTAGAAGCAAGCAGTCTGGAAATCACGCACATGGTGTCAACAGAAATTCTCACTATGTTTAAAGTTATGAAAATAACTTCTGAAATTTTCTGCACATTTTCAGACAAAGAATATATAAGTTCCATTTTTTCTTTCCTAGCAAAGAATTTATATGTTAAAATTCCCCAAAGACTACTAAAATATTGGCATGTCAAGCTTTGAAAGAGGTGTTCTCTATCCCATGAAGCTTTTTCATTTTTAATTTAAAGAAAAATAAACTTTCCAAAATACATCTGTATGTAATATTCTCTCTGATAAAGAGCAACTGAGAGAAAGCATCTGCTACATTTTTTTGAATCCAGGACAAAAGTTCCTCCAGTTATACTTGCTTGTTTTCTTATCTTTCAGAATAAAAGAATTTTTTTCGTTCTGCCCACTATCAGCATACAAAATAATATTTATACTTGAAAGTGTGATCACAGGAAATGTTACTCAAGGATAAACACTGCTTCATGGGTAAGAGAAATTCTTACCCAAGTTCTGTTTCTATCAGACATACATTTCTATCAGCCATCTGTGCTTAGGCTATGTTATCTCTAAGCTAGTGTCACTGTTTTACAGTTCTGGGGCCTGTACTGTTGATTTTTTTTTTTTCCTGATAAGGTTTCCATCACATTCTTCTATTTTCCAAGCCAGTGGGAAAATCTTCCATGTGCTTTTGTACTGACTATTGGAAATATTGACAAAAATCTTAAATAAAAAGGGGATGACAAAAGGGGACAAATTCTAGTGCCTTTTCTCAGCTGATACAAGAAATCTACTTTCATTTCTGCTACAATTTTCATGTCTTCACAGAATGGTTGAGACTGGGAGAGACCAAAGCCAGGAAATCCAGAAGGACATCTAGTAAAAGTGTAAGCCTGCTCCTGCTCTGGCCAAGCACATATTAATAAATTATTTCCTGCAAGGAAAGTCCTGCCTTATTCACTGCCTGAAACATCTTTGTTGGATAGCAAATTAATATCAGTTGGCCTTCACCTGGAGAAATACTTTTTTGGTTATTGGTGAGCCACAGAAGAAAGTCAGTCCCTGTTTGTGCTTCTTTTCCTTTTCTCTGCTTACTTGCAATGAACATCAAATGAGAAAAAGTAAACAGCATTTATTTTAAATTACAGGCCAGCTTATAGTCACCTATGAAACTTTCTTAAAATATTAGGAAAATAATAGTTATTCTTACCATTATGACTCATCTCCACTCAATCCCAGGCACTGCAAATATGCATTGTCAGCAAGTAGAAAGTAATTATGCGAAGCCAGGCGCACTATTCAACAGGAGATCACAGACTGGTAGTGACGTGGTAGAATTCCCTTTTCTGTGCTCTAGAAAAAAGTCAAAAGAAGGAAGAACCTGCAAATTGTTTCCACCTCAGTGTGTCAGAGCCCACTCATTACCTCCCTGATGACATTCCATGACTTGGCGTGGAAAGGATGGGAATTTGGCAAGATCCTGCAGGGTAACACCATTGCTCCCTCAGACCATGGCTAAAGTCCCTACTATTTTCACAGGGGCTCCAGTAAGTCACTCACAGGAGTTTCAGTGTTTATCATTCCTCTGGTTTTGCAGATGAGGAACTTTAGAACGGAGAAATGGAATGAACTGACCAAAGCAATTAAGGAATTGGTGCCAGACTCCAAAACTAAATCCAGATGAGCCCACGAGGCAATAAATCACAGATGATTTTGTCATGTAAAAACCCTTCCTTTTAAATACTGGTAATGCACTTGCCATGGCTAAAGGAAAAGATGGCTCATCTGTAATCAAAGCCATAGCACATGGAACACGCTGGAATTAGAACACCAGGCAAAAAAACTGTTTATAAAATGTCAGATTTCCCAGGAATTTGTCTAATGGGTCTGAAGATTTTTTGTCATTGATAAACTTCTACTGTTTTTTTGACTCACCCTTTTTTACCAGCATATTCAATCAGATCCAATTTCTAAAATTTTATTTATATAAGTAAAAGATAATGGAGTTCAAGACAGCACAGCTCATAGATTGAAAACAGATTAATTGATTACTCTCAGGTTTTTCCCAGTGTCCTGGGTGGTTCTTTTTTTATTCCCTTCCATCCCCCTCCTCCCCTTCCTTCACTGCTGATGTTAATCAGACAGAAAGGAAGTGGCTGTTTTCCATAGACAGCATTGATATTTGGTGAAAAAATAAGGGATGGGGGAGTGAAAGGTGCACAGAAAACCAAAACAAAAAGTTTACAGATAAATTCCTTTTTATCTTTGCCAAATGCTGCTCTAGTGTGGGAATGGATGGAGCTGGCAGTCACTTCCATTAAGCCGGAAATACCATCTTTAATAAATCCAGTTACAGGACTAGATGGACACATAAATCTCTTTGGATGTCTGTGACAGAAGTAATGAAATGTCAGTGGAGAGCTTTGAGAATTCTGAGGTCAGCCTGTTTGTTGTCTTTTTCCTTCTGTCTTTCTGACACTCAATGTAAAGCTGAAATATTTATACTTAAATGAGTGTTGTTAATGCAGGATATTGAGGTCATCAACATGAGAACACTGTCAACAGGCTGTATAAAAAATTTTACAAGCTTCTTCAAGATTCTATATTTAATTGCACTGAGATTCCCTTTGCCTTCATTCTACTTCCCAAAGCCAACATTTTATTTGTCTGAACATAAGCCACCCTTCAAATGCTGAACACCTCCAAGGCTCAAATTCTGCTTAAATGTTCTCAGAAAATTATCAATATTACTGCATTCTAAGGTTTGTCTGTTTACTAGGAGTTTTTACCAGTGTTTTAGATTAAATGAAAAATTGACTTCTGTTTCTACTAAGTGTATTAAGCCCTTTCTTGGCACAGCATAATCATTTTTTGCTGTGTGTTCAGAGATCATGTATTCTGCAGCTGCTGATGCAGCAAATTGACTCTCCATTCTGCCATCATTTGTGCTGCTGAATTGCTATCAAAAGTGCCTTTGCCATTCATATTATTGTTCTTGGTTAGCATAAAACCTAAGGTGGTTTTCACTAGTAAATGTCTATGCACATGGTTTCATCTGAAACCTCCAGATCCTAAGAGGTGTTTTACTATTCTTATGCCTTTCTTCAGCCACAGTACATCAGCCTTGATCTGCTAAAACACTTGTACAGGCGTTTTGTCTCCTTTGCAAGACCGTTGTGGATCCCTTCCTTAAAAGCTCAGAGAGTTTATCAAAGCCCAGATCCATAAATTCCCTTATTATAAATGCAGGGATGTGAGACTAAATCATAGCTACTGCTCTTCTCCCATATATCCTCATATCAGACTTAAAGTCACCTTCCCGTTTTAAAAAACTCCTATGAGCCTGAGGCACCCTGAAACATCTCAACATAATTTTCTTTCTTTACTATTCAAGTAATGATGGCAGCAAACTGCTGGAACTGATAAACAGATTGTCTTCATAGATTCTGTTATTTGAAAAAACAGCATGGCGCTCCCTCTCAGCAGTTCCCATTCCAGCCTTAGTTACCAGCAAGAGACAAAGTCCTTCCCCACTTTCTCTCATGTTTTTCCTTCATTTGTACTTTGTTTTGATTATTTTTGGTTTTACTCAAGACATTTAGGATAGATTGTTAAATTAATTTCTTTATTGAGCATGGAAGGATGAAAACAAAGGTAAGTGTAAGTCCGGTTCAAAGGATATTTTTGATGAAAAAATATATTCTGAAAATAATTTATCTGCTTAATTGGAAGTGATTGTTTAGTTCATTGGTGTAAGTCACAAATGGCTTTAAGTAATGAATAATTTTGAATCTCTTAAGTAATGTTCTCAACTCTGTTCCAAACGAATTTTCACACTATAGAGTCTCTAAATGTTATTTTTTAGTCAGTTGGAATCTCACTATGGTTTTCATGAAATACAGTATTATGTCACAGGCTTTCCAAAAGTGGCACTCAGTACCAGTGACAATAGGAAACACCAAAAGCGCTGACAATGAATAATTAAGCTATTATGAAGTTGTACTTTGACATGACTAATAAAAGTTAATATGTTGCTTCCTTTTCTGGAATGATTTTGTAGATTTTTTTTCATCCTACCTTTTTCTTTCTGGATCAAGACAATGTGGCCAAGAGAGTATAAACTGTAAGAATCAATTAGCATTTGTAGTAAAGAACAGATCACAGGAGAAAACTTATCCTTATTTTAAATGTTGTGACTGGAGAAAAAGTTGAAGTTATAGAGATGGGGACCTAAATTAGTTCTACTTGTAAATTCTTAGGCATTTTCCAGCAGTGACTTCTTGGTTTTGCAGCAAATGCCTCTGATATTTTCCAATTCAGAGTGCTCCCTTGCTGTGAGCCTTCTTGCTATGAGGCCACCTGGGATCAAAGCTACTTTCCCCCTCCTGTGGTCTCAACTAACTCCATTAACTCTAATTACAAACACTTCTGTTATACCAACCAGATTTTATGGCTTCCAATGAGTAAGCTACATGGAGAAAGTCCACGTGGTACTACTGTTGGTTCCTTCTTCACATTATTACTTGCCATACATTAACCACATTCATGGCTAGCTCAGAGTTAGAACCACTTCATTTTTACCTTGTGTAATTAAAAAGAAGCTTAAATTGTTTCTTGAAGTTCATCATTCTGGCAATTAATGAACTAGGCCAAGCAAAGATTTTATAGGATTTAATTTTTTGTAAGTACTGAGAGTCCCAGAAAGAGCTTATATTGTATACCAGTGCCACTAACACTTTCCCTTAATGCAGAAAAACATGAAACAAATATGTGTCATTATATAGATATACATATGCTACATGTATATGTAGCACACAGACATACATGCATTGCTTTCTCTCAGCTTCTCAGCTTGTTTCTTGACATCAACATTTTTCAAACTGTTCTTTAAATCTCCAGTAAAATGGAAGGTGGAGCAAATAATCTTTTTATTTTAACAAGGTTCGCACATTAAATGATGTGGTTACACATCCTACCTGACGGGTTATTTATAGAACCCATTAATTTATTTATGTTCCTTTTCCAGGATAAGTATAGATGGCCTGTCCAACTTGGTTGAAATCAGTAGAATTTTGTCCCAGTTAGATGATATGTGACATGTCATATAATTCCATTGTCATCCCCACATACCATTCACATGTGGTGTTAACTGGCTTGTGGCCCTATGCCCATGGTATTCACTGAAAATTTATTGTGAATTAAGAGTAATACAGTTGTGGATTTACACATTAATGGGTGCAGGTGACCATTCCCTTCTAGGGACTGTGTCAAGGAAAGCCTAACATTTTCCAGAGATGCAGAACCAAACACACTCTACAGCAGAAAGAGCTTCCTCAGTCCCTGCTACTCCAAGAGATAAAATAAATTTTTGGTAATTAAACATCCTTGATGGACTGTCTGCCCTCAGCTACCTATGGAAAGAGTGTCATAGTGCTCCAGCATGTTATACTACTGTGTTTTCTTACTGTCAAGAAGCCCATTCTTGCTTATCCCTGCCCTCAGAATCTTCCACTCACTTGCTTTTGCCTAAAAGTCCATGGAAGCATCCAGTGTCTTTTTCTTTAGCCCTGAGATCAAGAAATCCTTGGGACACTTTTGCTGATATGCACAGCTAGCTGAAGAAGTCCAAAAAAGAAACTATGCCACAGGAAAATTGAAATGGAATTCCCCTGATGTCAGCCACCCAAAAGTTTTATATCTAATTTAAATTAATAATGCTCCACCCGTAGTCAGTACAAAAATACAAACACTCCTGGAATAGATCATCTCAACTACCTTAGACATCTATTTTAAATTAATATAAACTATTTGGTAAATGTCTCTTTAGTGCCAGATTTTATCTTTTTGAAACATAGGATTTGATTATATTTGCTTATAGAAAGAACTACTTTGTAATTTCTTGGAAATAATTTTTTTCCAAATTTCACCCAACAGAATTTCTGGTTTTCCATAATTTTGTTGGTAAGTTTTTCGTCCTCTGACTATAGGACTCATTTGCCTCAAAATAAACCTCCAAACTTACAATTATCATATATTCCTAAATTTTGAGATGGAAAAAAATTGCCTATTGTGCTAATTTGTAGTCTACAAGATCACGGTTGGCAAAACAAGAACTCCTCATTGCTGCCATTTCTCCAAAAATTAGGAGAAATATTTTTTTAGTTGTAATCAGCTCAAACTTCTACCACAGCAGGAGATGGATCTCAGTAGTTATCTGTGAAAACAGGTGCCTAAGTTCAAATTAATCACAATGGACTCTTAACTAGTCAAAGCTGTGCCAAAGCAATTAGAGTTCAAGACATGATCCAGCCTTGCTGGCTGCCTCAAACTGGTGACCTATTTGCTAAAGAGAA